AGTTTTTTTTTCCCGGTTCCTTTCTCTTATCTCACTACTAATCCTTTCCTTATGTATCGTTTCTACAAAATCAAGGATCTCGGCCGAATCTTCATGGATAATATCTTGTGGTAAAGAAGTTTTAGATGTTTCAAGCTCTGTTGAAGATTCAAGTTGAGTTGAGCTATATTCTATTTCAGGCAAGGGATCGGGGATAATACCTTTCTCCTCATCAGAATTGCTCTCGATAAGTGGTGAAATATCTTTTGTAGATGCTTCCTGTTCATTAGTAATAACCTGGATCTGTTTCTGTTTCAATTTTGTGATTCTATCTTTAAGCTCAGTATTTTCTTCTGCAGTCTGTTCCAATTTGGCAATCCTGGCTTTGAGCTCAACATTCCCAGCTTCGCGTTTGGTGCTCTCTTCCATAACCTTTATCAGTTTAGCATTATTTGACTCAAGCTCAGTCTTTTCAGCTTCAAGTTCAGAAATTCGTTGCCTTAATGAATTAATCACGGATTGCATATTTTAATAATAGATTATTATTTATTTAAAATGTAACTAAAGTAATAAAAATTTCAGCGACGGCCCAAAACTAAATCGAATAAAAAAATTGCAGATCGTGCCTAATAATGATTAATAGATTTATATACTTTATTGATTTTTATTATATACAAGAAGCTATTTTATAATAAAACTCGACGATTCACATCTCCAATTATTCAGTAATCAAAAGGTGTTGACTCAAGAATATCATTTCTGAATACAAAGTAAATGCTACGTGAACTCGTTAATAATCAATTACAAGAACACTTAATTTCTATCAAAAACTTTTAATTCATCTTTAATTATAGGTCAATTGGCGAGGATATTTGGACTGTCCTAATGGAGAAGGTGATGGCAGGTCATCATAATCAGAATCGTCATGATCATGGTACGTATGATGCACCACTGGATTTATGATACGTGATTTTTTTCCCGTAAGTTTTTGTGACGAACTCTTAGCGTCATCCATATAATTTTTTAGTGCTGAAGATTTAAACCGTAAAAGTGTATTTCGACGATGAGACCTTTTGAATTCCTCAAGTACCCTGAGGGTATCATCTAAGCCTCTTTATATAAAAAAGAATAATCATTAGAATGAGATATTTCTATATTTCATTACAAAGGAATATAGATCTTTCTTACTTTAAAATTTCGTAAAACCCTTATCGCGTGCACAAGTTCATGATGATTTTCCCAACTGATTGGAAACTGGAAGACGCCAATCAGAAACATTCGATAAACCCCCGACACAGGTAAATCCATGCCCCATATTTGTACATCAAGGCCTATCACAAGCAAAGACAATTTATTAACTAATACAAAAATTTAGACTCAGCTCATCGATTAACTTACCATGTACATGTAAAAACCAAACGTGTAAACGTCTCAGAATATTGTAGTCACCATGATGAAATTTAGCGATTATATCATTAAGGAGGTCACAGCAACCCCAATATCCTTTTATGTGATCTTTTAGATAGCGCGGTATATCTTTGGTTAAGTAGCCACCAGATAGTAGGGTTGTTAACTGGAGCATAATGTTCTGGCATCAACCTGGGTTATGTATCACTCCGTCACGGAGCGGGTTAAGATTTCTAATTTTTTGT